TATATATATATGGGCAGGTTAGGGTAATTAGGCAAGTTACTGTATAACAATGGTTTGTTCTGCAGACTATCGAAAAATATAGCGTAAAGGGGCGGTCACACTTTACAACAAGGTTCATTAGTTAATGTATATTAATCCATTAACTAACATGAACAAACAATGAACAATACATTTACTACAGTATTTATTCATGTTAGTAAACGTTAGTTAATGAAAATACAGTTGTTCAACGTTAGCTCATGTTAACTCACAGTGCATCAACTAATGTTAACAAGCATGGACTTGCATGTTAATAATGCATTAGTAAATGTTCAAATATGATTAATAAATGCTGTACAAGTGTTGTTCATGATTAGTTCATGTTAGTAAATGCAGTAATTAATGAATCTTATTGCAAAGTGTTACCAAAGGGGCTAATAATTTTGACCTTAAAATGGCTTTTAAAAAATTCAAAACTGCTTTAATTCTAGCCAAACTAAAACAAATAAGACTTTCTCCAGAAGAAAACATATTATCAGACATACTGCGAAAAAGTCCTTGCTTTGTTAAACATCATTTGGGAAATATTTAGAATAAAAGAAAACAAACTTCGAAGGGGGGCTAATACTTCTGACTTCAACTATATAAAAATTCATCAGTTATTAGAAATGAGTTATTAAAACTATAATGTTTAGAAATGTGCTGAAAAAACCTTCTCTTCGTTAAACAGAAATTGCTGTATGATAAAATAGTATTAATGGCTGATTTGGGCTTTAACAGACAACAAAAAGTCATCATGGCCAACAGAATGTTATGTGGAAGAATGTGATCTAATGTCAAAGAAAATGATTCTCGTGACACATCGGGAGTATTGCATGACAATGACCAGAAAAAAAAACGCTAATAACAGAGATGTCATAAGCCATGTTGCTGTACAGCATTTACCACACCCCTAACCCTTTTTGAAGATTTATGAGTTAATGGTTTTCCTGCTGTAGATGAGTTGACGGTTTCCAAGGCTCTGTTTCAGAAGCCATCCTTCTATTAAAGGAGCCTTCAGCCAATCACAGTCCAGCAGGGCAATGAAGTGAAGCGAACAGGAAGTCAACACGACTCTTACACCCCCTGCCAGGGTTCATCTGTGCTCATTTCCTGCACATCCTCTGGCTTTGCTGTGTCCAATCCACAGGAAACGGTGGACGCCTTATGCACACAGTTTAACATTTATTTAAAAACAAACTGTAGAAGCAAACAAATGACTGTTTTGAAGAAAATACTGATTGAAGGACTGAAGTAATTACAGTAGCTTATGTTTCTGAAAGAAATCTCTTATGCTTATAGCAAATACAATAAAACAGTTTTATGTTGTGAAATACAAACTACAGTAACGTAAATGTATGTATAAAATCATATGACACTAAAGACTTGAGTAATGTAATAACTTGCACTCAAATTCAGTTCTAATATAAAATTGTAAAAACAAACAAAACCATTCAAAAACTTTTTTTGGATAAGAGACTTTTAAACTTTTAATATAACACTATTACTAATTACTGAAAGTCATATGATTGCATTCTTGGGAATCATGTTTCCATAAATAAATAAATAAATGCATTGTTATATAAATAAAAAAAATCCATTTACAGCTAAAGTCAGAATTTTTAGCCCCCCACCCCCGTTGATTTTTTTTTCTTTTTTAAATATTTCCCACATAATGTTAAACAGAGCAAGGAATTTTTTACAGTATGTCTGAAAATATACATATTTCTGGATAAAGTCTTATCTGTTTTACTTTGACTAGAATGAAATGTTTTAAATTTTTTAAAAATAATTTTAAGGTCAAAATTGTTAGCTCCTTTAAATTATATATATTTTTTAATGGTCTACAGAACAAATAATCATTATACAAAACCATGCCTTATTACCCCATCATGATCACCTATTAACCTAGTTAAACCCTTAAATGTCACTTTAAGCTGTATTGAAGTGTCTTGAAAAATATCCAGTCAAATATTATTTATTGTCATCATGGCAAAGATAAAATAAATCAGTTATTAGAACTGAGTTTTAAAAACTATGATGTGTAAAAACTTTTTAAAAATTTAATCTTATTGTTTAATTTTTATTTAAAATCATAATTTTAATTAATATTTTTATAAATATTTTTTGATAATAATTTCTTACTATAATGTAATGTGAGCCTTGATGAGTATATCTGTTTTCCATAAATAATATTATTTTCAATTAAATAATAATTATTATTTTAACTTATTATTTAAAACAAATAGCACTAAAAGTGATCATTACTGTTTAAAGACCTTAAACCTCCCAAAAAACAAGGACAGAACCAATACTGGTGCTATATAGCACTTAAATTGTTTTCCCTATGATTATGAGCCAAATACCACTTAGCGGTGCTAAATAACAACTCAAATATCACAAAGAACAACTGAAAAAGCTTTTTTTGTCTGTGTTTATACTGTTTGTTAAAGGGATAGTTCACCTAAAAATGCTAACTCTGCCATTATTTACTCACCCTTTACTAGAAAGTTGAAAATATCTAACTATTGAATTCTATATACGATGGAAGTGAATGGTTAAAAGTTAATATTTTTCAAAATAGCTTATTTTTATGTTCAAGAAATTCCTAAAGGTTGGAAACAGGGTGATTAAAGGATGGCAGAATTTTCATTTTTTGGGTGAACTATCCCTTTAACATTTTCATTATTGAGATATACATTTCCCAAAATATTGAATAAATAAGTATTAACTGTATGCAGTATATAAATATATTTTTAAAATATACATTTAAATGCCAAAGATGGCGTGAAAATGATATTCATGGCAAAATAGCCAAGTCATGTATTGAGCTGAAAGGTGAACATTAACCTGACCGGGCCAGATTGGCACTACCGATTTTAAGTTGAGATGGTGCCACTGCTGATGTTTGGGAGCCATTCAGGGTGTTTTATCTCATGGCCCAGTCCTGCTGCTGACACCAGAAGAGCAGCCCTGGCAGGAGATAAGAGGAGTTTCTTCAACGACATCAGGCAGAGATGAGCATCAGGAGTAACTGCTCCAAAACAGACATTAGTGGTGCTTGTTGACTTCTATGCACTTACAGATCAATATACAGTTGAAGTCAGAATTATTAGCCCCCTTTTGATTTTTTTTTTTCTTCTTTTTTTAATATTTCCCAAATGATGTTTAACAGAGCAAGGAAATTTTCACAATATGTCTGATAATATTTTTTTCTTCTGGAGAAAGTCCTATTTGTTTTATTTCGGCTAGAATAAAAGCAGTTTTAAATAATAAAAAAAAAACAATTTTGGGACAAAATTATTTGTTCCTTTAAGCTATTTTTTTTTCGATGGTCTACAGAACAAACCATCGTTATACAATAACTTGCCTAATTACCCTAACCTGCCTAGTTCACCTTATTAACCTAGTTAAGCCTGTAAATGCCACTTTAAGCTGTACAGAAGTATCTTGAAAAATATCTAGTAAAATATTATTTACTGTCATCATGACAAAGATAAAATAAATCAGTTATTAGAAATAGGTTTCTAAAACTATTATGCTTAGAAATGTGCTGAATCAATCTTCCCTCCATTAAACAGAATTTGGTGGAAAAAATAAACAGGGGAGCTAATAAGTCAGGGGGGCTAATAATTCTGACTTCAACTATATATATATAGTTATATGTGTGTGTGTGTGTGTGTGTGTGTGTGTGTGTGTGTGTGTGTGTGTGTGTGTGTGTGTGTGTGTGTGTGTGATTTAATAAATAATAAATTGGAAAAATATTTGGAAGATTTACATTTTTATGTCGAGGACATATGCCATTTGTTTACATTTAAATGTGTCATGTTATAAATGTCCCTGTGTTTGCGTGGGTTTCCTCTGGGTGCTCTGGTTTCTCCCACAGTCCAAAGACATGCTGTACACGTGAATTGAATAAGCTAAATTGGCCTTTTTTTTTGTGCAAGCATTTTACAGTACAATATTCAAAAATATTTTTGAATGTCAATGTTTTCAAACAATTATATTTGATTTAAGTCAAGTGTCATTTTCACATTCTACTCATTAAAAGAAAGATGTTACATCCAATATAGCTTTTTCCTAATAAATGTAAAAATGTCAAATCAAATCAATATTTTTGTCCTATGGTGAACAAAATATTATCCTTTAGCATTGTTTTATTTATTTACTTATTTGTTTATTTATTTATTTATTTTTTTTTTTTTTGGGGGGGGGGGTATGTTGTATGTATGTGTAATGTGTATCTGTAATGTTTACAGATTGATATTTTTCTGATATCATAACTCTGTGGTTAATTTTTTGGGGAAATATAGACAGATGTTTCAATACAATGTTAGTTTATACTATCCCTGTGAACCTGTGTTTTGAATTTTTCCTGCAAATATCACATCCATAATGCTGGAATTGATCTGCTCCAGCAAGAGTTCTGAATACATAAAAAAGTAAAATGATTGTTTAACCCTAAAAGCAATTATAAAACAATAGGCCTATTTGCCAACCAGACAAAATGTGGAGAGTTCTTTTTAAGGGGGTCCATCCAAAAAAAAAAAAAAAAAAAAATCTAATTATGTCATTTACTTTTATTGTTGCAAACTGTTGAACACAAACAAAAAGTTGCAATGAATCCTGAAAACCAGTATTGGCTTCCAAAATAGCCTATTGTTACAGTTTTCTAACATTCCTCACAATAACTTTGTATAGAGAACAAAACGAAATGTTTGCCAGCCAAGTTGTTTAACCTCGTCGTTTGGATGCAGCCAGGTATTTGATTTCTGCCTGACTGACTCCGTGTTTGAGCTCGTGACCCCTTAAGTCACGAGTCGTCGGTGTCGGCTGTATAATTGACTGGTATTCGCGCATGTAGGAGCGCTATTTCCTCTCATTGTCGAGCCGTCGTGAGCAGGAAGTCGGAAAAGAGCAGAAACTGAGGGGGCAGGGCCATTTAAAAATACCTGCTGCCCTACAATAACGGGACACAGAGACAGCAGCCCTGCGGGACACTGGCGTGGCGACTTGCAGCGCAAAATGCACCACAAACAAGACGGAGCCTAAACGCCACATTTATCACGCGCCGGAGAAATTGAACAACGCCACTGTCTGTCACCTCACATTATTCAGACAGAACATAGGACTGAATGCGTGGTGACAGAAATCTAATGTAAATGAAGGATGCTTGGAATCTGGCGTACACAATGTGTGCTGGATGTTTCTGACCTTTGATACACTTGCTAAGACAGCAGAACAGGTGCATCTCTGAAGCGTTTTGTGCGGCAGATGGTCTTTCGGAACCGCAGAGGGCGAGTACGGGACATATTTGGCTTAAAAGGCGTGCATACCAAATGTGCTGAATTATACCTGAATCATATTGAAAATGGCTTCTACAATTGAACGGAAAACACTGGAGGCAAATGAGTGAGTAGCCTATATATTCATAATTTCATAGTAGGCTATAATTATATAAGTATATATAAAGAGTCTATAGCCTAACATTTATAGACAACAAAATAAGTGCATATAAATAACATTGTAATTATACATTTGTATCTATCTAATTATCTATTTTTATTTTTTATTTTTGCAAACTGGTGCTGATAGAAAGTTTAGAACAGCCACTGTGCCTTTATTAGTGAGCATCAAATAATTCAGTTATTTAATAAGTTTTATTTAGACCAATTAAATTATTCAACTCATTTGAAGCACAGATATACTTTATCTTAAAATATGGGAAAACAGGCATATGTTGAAGAAGTCTGACAACTAATTTAGCAGTGGAAGTAGGGAAATACAATAAAGCAAATAATAAAGTTCTTCCGAATATTGTGATTTTAAGTATTCAGTGCGAAAAAAAGAAAAACAGATCAATTTTACTATTAATATAAATATATAGATCTTTATATATGTTTATATAAAAAGTCTAAATAATTTTTTTAGACAAATCTACCATTGTTTTGCAAAAATGAAAATAGATAAATAGATAGATACAAAGATGTAATTACAATGTTATTTGTACTTCAAAAGAAATGCCATCAAAAGATTATCAGATTATAAAGAAATTTTATTGAAAATCTAAACGTGCAAATGTATTGTAATCTTTATTTTAAATTGTATTGAATCTTTTATATAGTAAATGTAATAATCTGAGAATGGGGCCACTTTGGGGACATTTTGATAATGATCAAATCTTTGGCATTGTTTATTAAGAGCAGCTGTATGGATGAGTGCCTTGATCCTTTACATATTATATGCTCCAAATCTGGCACTATATTTCATGAGATATTTTACATGCTTCCTTAATGAAGCTTTAAGACAAAATCCACCTAAAAATGTTCACATTAAATCAAACTATCTCTCTGCATTTGCTTATACATAACAGTTTTAAAAAAATAAAATACCCCAGATTTTCTTTTGTTGTATGAATTTTGTTCACAAACGTTAAACAGTGTGTGACATGATCTAATTCAGGAGTGCAGTGACCCATAGCATCTCATTTGCATACTTCACTTTTCTCTCTTGGGTTCACGCATCAGCAGCTACAGCACAAGCGGTTGTTTATAAAACAAAAGTAACAATGTAGTCTACATCTACAAAAATAGCACATGTTTGCCTGTATTTGTCTGTAGCCTATAAAACACACATAACCGACACATTTTTAAATTACATTTCATATGAGTGCACCAGTGACATCTGGTGTTTATAATGGTGTATGACATGTTTAAATGGACACGCTGATCTGCAGGGAGCCGGTGGATGAGGTGCTCCAGATGCCGCCGTCACTGCTGACCTGTGGCGGGTGTCAGCAGAGCATCGGAGACCGCTTCTTTCTGAAGGCCATCGAGCAGTACTGGCACGAGGACTGTCTGAGCTGTGACCTCTGCGGCTGCCGCTTAGGGGAGGTGGGACGCAGGCTTTACTACAAACTCGGCAGAAAGCTGTGCAGGAGAGATTACCTCAGGTAATAATCTGGAAGAACTTTTAAACTGTATTTAAATGGCACCTGATAAATAGGGGAGCAAGTCGATGAAAGAGAGGGTGCATAAAAATATGGCATCATTACACAAACTTGTTTCTTTTCATCTGTTAAACATGAAAATATATATTTTGATATATATTTTATATAAATATTTTGTGTCACGCTGCAGTGGGTAGCACGATCCCCTCACAGCTAAAAGGTCGCTGGTTTGAACCTCGACTGGGTCAATTGGCATTTCTGTGTGGAGAATTGGGAAGGCTAAATTGAACATAGTGTGTGAATGAGTGTGCATGGATGTTTCCCAATGATGGGTTACAGCTGGAAGGGCATCCGCTGCTTAAAAACATATGCTGCTGGATAAGTTGCTGGTTCATTTTCTCTGTAGCGACCCCAGATTAATAAAGAGACTAAGCTGAAAAGAAAATGAATGAATGATATTTTGTGTTGGTTTTTGCCGAATTCTGAACCATGCTTGTTACTCCCCTCTTAAGACCCTACAGTATATAGGCCTACTTCAAACAAAATAATGCATGAACTAAAATGAGTGATTTCAACTAAATAAAATGGCCAAAACAAAGTGTGTTTGGAGGTTGTTTTAGCAGTTCAAAGCAGTTAATTAAAGCAATTTTTTTAGGGGGGTTTGTTTGGCTTCTAAACAATCAGAGAGGGTCACCCTCCAGACGATTGCTCACCACCACCTTCGCTCAGCATCTTCTAATATTCTAAACACAGTTGAATTCGGGGTCTATACGCTGCAAATAAGAATTTATATTTAAGGCCCTGGTATATAGTTACCAACTAATGAAGTTAACAAATTTGAAAAGGCTGAGTGAAGGTATACTGTTACTCGAATCTTCTGACATACCCATGCTGCAGTAGGTGGTGGCGTTCTAAATGTGTCACGCTGCTCACGTCAGTGTTGCCCATAAACACAACAATGGTGGCTGAGGCAGATGAACATGTGCATGAGAAGCACCGCTGCAGTGAATCAAATGTTTACATTGTTTTTATTTTTGTTTTTTTTTGCCATGGCACTTCTTGTTCGCTGTGTGATTTAAAATCATTCCTTGAGCGATCATATGGGTACAGATACATCTGTACAAGTGTTTTTATGTGGCTTTTGTTGAATGTTGTTTTCCTGTCTGACCTCCGCGGATACAAAGCATGTCAAAGAAGGCAGAGTTCCAGAATGGTTGTCTTGAATCAAAAGTACACAACTCTGACAAAACTTTTCTTTGGTGAGCTGTTTCAAACTGCCCAATCAAACTCAAAAAAGAACTTTTTGTTTAGGCCAGATTTTCTTCAAAACCATGTCATGTCATTTCAGTTCATTGTTTTTGTTTGGTTTGAGGTATACCACAGCCTTTAGGGTTAGGGGTTGTGGGGTATGAGGGGTTAGGATTAAGAGTGAGGTTATGGATTAGGCAGTCAGGTAGTGACAAAGACCCCATGCAGCGGTGATGAGTTTATTATTGATATTACAACAAAACCTGGTAATGCTGTATCAAGACAACCAGAGCTTCAGATAATTTTAAATTCAGCATGGTTTCCTGTTTACTCATCACATTGAGAAAGGACTTGCGATCTTCTGCGATTGTAGTGTATCCTGCAGCTCTGTCTGTGCTTGTTTATAGGGCATCATATACAGTACAGTTGAAGTCAGAATTATTAGCCCCCCTTTGATTTATTTATATTTTTAAAATATTTCCCAAATGATGTTTAACAGAGCAAGGAAAATTTCACAGTATATCTGATAATATTTTTTTCTTTCGGATAAAGTCTTATTTGTTTTATTTCGGCTAGAATAAAAGCAGTTTTTATTTTTTTTTAAGCCATTTTAAGGTCAAAATTATTAGCCTCTTTAAGCTATAGGCAAGCTGATCTGTTGGATGTTCATTCTTTAAAATTATTGTCAGGAAACCCCATTTTGATCATGCTACCTTATTTTGGTTTAGTAGCTGCTCACAGAGTATAAAGGAAAAATTTCAAAAGACACAAAATAAATTAGTACGAATAATTTTAAAAATTCATCATAGAGCACATTTGCACAAAGATTTTTTTTAAAGAATTAGGTATGTTAACTGCTAGGAATAGAGTATGTTTGTTTAAACTGGAAATGATACGTAAACTGTTTAATAATGTGCTTCCTAGTTATTTGGTGAAATATTTTCAAATGGTTAGGCAACAGCATTCATACAGAACTAGGGGTTTGGATTGTAGTATTTGTTTATTTAAATTTAAAAGTCTAGTAGGGAAAAAGAGGTTTTCATACACAAGTGCAATCATGTGGAACAAATTAACAAAACCGATCAAGGAAATAAAAGACTTAAGAAGGTTAAAAAAAGCTATCAAAACATAGTTGTTTGATGAGGATAATTAGTTTGCTTGGTGGATGAGGATGTTTTATTTTATATGTTATTTGATTGTGAATAGGGTTGAGCTGGAGGGGCATCCGCAGCGTAAAACATGTGCTGGATAAGTTGGTGGTTCATTCCGCTGTGGCGACCCCTGATTATAAGAGGGACTGAACCGAAAAGAAAAATGAATGAATAAAGGAATACATGTATTTGTGAATTATCTTGTTCCTATTTTAAAGTGTGGAGGTACTGTTTGTTTAATGCATAATCTGTATTTTGAAGCCATACTTTGTTTTATTAAACAGTGAGGAGCACAATGGAAACAAGCCCAGGGCTTTATTGTGTTTTTATCCTCTACAGTTTTTATTTAACTATGTGTGGGATACTTGTATTTTTGTACAGTTAAAATCTGTCAAATAAAATTCAATTTAATTTCTACTTTTGATATGTGTATGGAGTACGTATGGGAAGATAACCGTTTTCACATAAGAACTTTTAGTTTTTTACTCAGACATTTAAAAACAACATATTTTAGAGCAGGATCCACAATACAGTGAAAAAGTGATGTTTTTATCCAAGGTTATAAAATCATCAGAATCTTATACTGGCCCATGTCTAGTGTGGACTCAAAACTTTCAGAATCATTCATTCATTCATTCATTTTCTTTTCAACTTAGTCTCTTTAATAATCCAGGGTCGCCACAGCAGAATGAACCGCCAACTTATCCAGCACATGTTTTTTGCAGCGAATGCCCTTCCAGCTGCAACCCATCTCTGGGAAACATCCGTTCACACACATACACTACGGACAATTTAGACTACCCAATTCACCTGTACCACATGTCTTTGGACTGTGGGGGAAACTGGAGCAAACCCACGCGAACGCATTGGTATTAATGTTGTTATTATTATTATTATTACTTCTACTACTACTACTACTATTATTATTATTATTATTACTGCTACTATTATTATTATTATTATTACAAATGTTATTATTATTATTATTATTATTATTATTTCTACTATTATTATTAGTACTATTATTATTATTATTCATTCATTCATTTTCTTGTCGGCTTTGTCCCTTTATAAATCTGAGGTCGCCACAGCGGAATGAGCTGCCAACTTATCCAGCAAGTTTTTACACAGCGGATGCCCTTCCAGCCGCAACCCATCTCTGGGAAACATCCATCCACAGACACACACACACAAACACACACACACACACACACACACACACACACTATGGACAATTTAGCCTACCCAATTCACCTGTACTGCATGTCTTTGGACTGTGGGGGAAACCGGAGCACCCGGAGGAAACCCACGCTAACGCAGGGAGAACATGCAAACTCAGAAACACCATCTGAGCTCAGGTTCGAACCAGCAACCTTCTTGCTGTGAGGCGACAGCACTACCTACTGCGCCACTACGTCGCCTATTATTATTATTATTATTTTTTATTATCATTTTTTTTTTCAATGATGACCATGTTATTTTACATTTGATTCAATTTCTGTACTTGCTGTTACAGTTACGGTCAGACATTTCCTGAAAGTTATACCACTGTTTATTTATTTATTTTTGCTTCTAATCTATTATCATTTATGCACATGTACTGCATAGAAAAATACTTGATCATCCCAGTCAATCTAAATAAATGAAATCTTTCCCAATAAAGTTATTCAAATCATCTGGTGAAATTTTATTTATATCGCAATAAATATGACAAAATATTGTACGTTTTTTTCCAATATCGTGCAGCCCTAATTTGTGATGTCTTTTTGAATGTCGTTTTGACATCCAGGTGTCCACTGGTAATAGAACATATTATTTTTGTCACATATTTGTTTCTTTTATAGTAGGATTTCAGATGAAGCCTAGGTTCTTTGTTGCTGTAGTGGTGCAAAAGCATTTAAAGGTTTAGTTTACCTGAATAGAAAAATGTACTAAAATATTTGTGAGTTTTATCTGTTGAAATAAGACATTTTGGAAAAAAGTTGGAGGCTGTTAAACCATTGACAACCGTAGAAAAAAAATGGAAGTCAATGGCTCCCATTTTAAAACATAAAAAAGCACCTTCATTGAAGCTCATTTGTGTTCACTAAAGTAAAAAAAAAACTCAAAAAGGTTTGGAACTATTCTATCGAGAGTAAATAACAGAATTGCAATTTTAATCAAATATCATAGACTGTAAAATGGGTGAATATTCCTTTCATAAGTTTAGCTCATAGCTCCCTCTGTTGGTCAAAATAATCACTATATTGTTTCCTTCCTTTCAGACTGTTTGGTCAGGACGGACTCTGTGCTTCCTGTGAAAAGAGGATCCGGGCCTTTGAAATGACCATGCGTGTGCGTGACAAAGTCTATCACCTCGAATGCTTCAAATGTGCTGCCTGTCAGAAACACTTCTGTGTTGGAGATCGTTACCTGCTCATCAACTCGGACATTGTGTGTGAGCAGGACATTTTTGAGTGGACCAAACTCAACGGCAGCATAGTATAGTTTTCTGCCGAAATCATAAACAAAATGTAACCTGTCAGCATTTTCAACAAACCCTTTACTAATAGAACATCAATAACAAAATATATATTTTAAAGAAATGATCTTTCTGGCTCTATTAGCTGTGCTCTAAATGCTTGTCTCTTTTTGTTATTTAAACTTGAGAAAAATGCCACCAGGTTTCCCAGTGTTGGGTTGCAGCTGGAAGGGCATCCACTGCGTAAAACATATGCTGGATAAGTTGGCGGTTCATCCCGCTGTGGCGACCCCTGATTTTTAAAGGGACTAAGCCGAAAAGAAAATGAATAAATGAATGATAATTGCCACCAGCAACATGAACCTTTTTTAAATTTGATGTATTTTTGCAGAACAGCGTTATACAATTTTTAATGTATTGCAATAAAAACTGATTCCCTTTGCTACTTTTACACAATTACTTCGATTTGAACTATAGTTCTATTTGTTTTGAAGTAACACAATTGCAATAAAATGTACAGACATCTTAGAAAGATGATGCTTATTTTCTCAAGCTGCATTTTGTTCACTGGACAACTGTTTTCTGTCAATTTTTAAAAATGTATTTTATTTTTGTGATGCAAGGCTGCATTTTCAGCAGTCTTCAATCCCATCTTCAGTGTCATATTAGCTTTAATTGGAGCTCAAGAAACATTTTTTCACATTATTTTTTATTGTGTGATGCTTTTTTGTGATGTGATATCTATAATATGTTATCAAAGTGCCAACAGAGCACACCCAATATTCCTAAAAGGACATATTGTATACATTTCATATATATTGTGTACATATTGTATGCCAAAAAAAAAAAAAAAAAAAAACATCATGATCTGACACCTAAAACTTATTGTTGGTGTAATTTTATTTACTCCTACCAAATTCAGTCATATTAGATCATCTTTTTCACCTTGATCCAATTAAATGAGATACTTCTCTGCTTAGGTTATGCTCTTCACATGAAGTAAACACAAATATCATAAAGTGAGAAATGAGAAGAATTGTTTAGATACCATGGCATAGCCAAATTAAGGTCTGATGCTTTAGTTCTCTCATTTAAAGTTGGTCATGTGGCTTGAACATTAAAAAAGACTGCAACAAAAAACAAGCAAATTAAAAAACTATATCCATGTAATGTTATATGGCAGTAACTAAATTAGGCATGCAGATGCGATCAAGAAAATGGGCAAGAATGTTAATTTAAATGACTGGCTGAACGTGACATTGATGTTGGTGCCATATGGCTCTTGTAAATATATTTCAGAAACTGATTTTTTTTAAATTTTTTTTTTATTCACTGTCAACTCAAGTATTTATAGAGAATAGTCCGGAAAAAAAGAAACTATCCGGTGAGGGGAAGTTTTAAAGGTGAAAATGCCAGAATTTGTTGTAAACATCATGAAAGCAAGAATGTCACCTGATAGCACACAATACATACGACACTGAAACTTTTAGTTGGTGTTTGTGTTTACATCCAGAAGACGTAGAGTTATGCAAAATCAAAATGTCTATTAGACGTTATTTTTTTGGTCTTAAAATTTCATTTAGATTGTCTAATAGCATTAAAATGTTTGTTAAGCATAATAATAATAATAATAATAATAATAATAATAAATACGATCTGACATTTGAACAGAGCAGATGTTTTCCAGACAAAACTATCTTCAAAATATTGCACACGTATACTGCTGGGTAATGATTCAGGATGATGGTGGTTTAATGATGTGCTAGATTTCTTTCTTGGCACACATTAAGTAGGAAATTGAGTATTGTTTAAATGCTACTGCCTACCTTTTGATGCTGGTCCGTGAATTCATAGCCATTGTGATCCAGTAGGACATCGCCAAAAACTGGTTTCTTAAACATAATCACGAGTATGAATATGCTATCGAAAGGTCTTAGCGGAGCTCACAAATTCATGGCAAATTAAAGACTACAACTGGAATGGTCTTCCAATTTGAGCTTAAGGAAAACCAATTAACTGTACACGCATTGAACATAGATGCTTGGAAGACTTTAAGATAACAAAATAAATAATGTGAAATTCTGTCAAATGTGCCGTTCGTGTAGATCAGGGGTGCTCAATCATGTTCCTGGAGATCTACCTTCCTGCAGATTTCAGTTGCTACACATATCAAACACACCTGCCTGTAATTATCAAGTGGTTTTCAGGTACTAATTAATTGGTTCAGGTGTGTTTGATATGGGGTAGCAACTGAAATCTGCAGGAAGGTAGATCTCCAGGAACAGGATTGAGCACCCCTGGTGAAAATCTTATTGCCTCTACCATTTTTTTCAGAGGGGGGCGCCAAATATCCAAACACATGGGCATAAACACGTAAAACAGCCTACAACATGACCTTTTGACATCCACGTTATTTATCATTTATTTACAATTATTGGACAATTAACAATTATTGTACACATTCAGATTTTAATTATTGACATTATTTTAGATGTTATATTTGCAAATGTAAACAGTGCCTGAAAATAAATCTATTGTTTACAGATTTGATTGTTTCTTTGTGTAACCATAAAATAATGAGATTTATCTAAATTATAAATATTATAATTATAAATTAAATTATCATTTATTTCTGTTTAAGAAAATTATTTCATCATATTTTTCATCATATATCATTTGATAATTTATCATATCATATACTATCATAGTCGTTATTCACCTACTTCATGGATTTTAATTTTAAAACCTGCAATATAAATATTTATTGAACATAAAACAGTTAGATTGTCCCAAAAACCCTTCAAGAACTGTGTTGTGATTTTAAATAAACAGTTTAAACAAGCAGTAAAATAATTTTTTTTGTTTGATGTTCAGTAAAATAATTAAATGTAATGCAAATGTAATGTAATGTGTATTTATATGTATTGCAATATAGTATCCATTATTATATTTATATTGAGAAAAAACATAAAGTCGGCTACTGTACTGTTGTATTTGCGAACATCGGTATTGGTACTAGAATCGACCAAAAATGTTTTGTCAAAATCGACATTGGCTTGACTGTTAAACGGATCCAATCCATATTCAGTCAAATAATTTTAATGGAGTTACTATTGTCCTGTACTGGATTGGTACTGGAACCATCCAAAAGTTTTATTGTGAAAATTGAAAATCCCATTTGTTTATCACAAATTCTGTCATTTAAACTCATTAAATTGTCCACAGATATGAAACGTATGAGAAAACATCATGCAGGAGAGATGCTGATGCAGCTCTGCAGATCATAAATCTTCCTCCATTCCGTCAACAGCTTTTACACATGTTTCCGGAGTTGTAAGTTATTCTGAAATGCTCCCCATATGTAAGTGTTTCTGGACAGGACTGACCCACAACTGGAGCTTCTTCTGTAAGGCCCTGCCTGATGGTAAAGATTAAAGGTTTTGAAGGCCTGCATGAACATTTGAGCCACACAAACTCTTTGAAAACCTTTCAGTCCTGGTAGACTTAACCTAAGAATTTGACGCATCAACTAAAAGGCACAAACAATAGTGTGATGGCAGATTTAAAAAAAAAAAAGAAAAAGAAAAAGAAGAAGTGGTCTGGAGTCCAGCTGTCTAAAGCTTGAAGGCTCTATAAGATCTCAACTGCTGATTGAAGATACAGCTCATATATGGGATAATATTAAAACTGAAATAGTTCCAATCTGATGAGGAACTTGAAACGAAAAGCATGTCTGATCCAAGTGTGCCGCAAGCCTACGTTTGAGTGAAGGTTTCGGCCGTTAGATCGCCCCCTGGGGGCTGGCTGCAGTACAAGTCATAAAGCCCGCCTCCTCCGTGTTAATGAAGGAGACTTGAGCCCAAATAAAAAAAAAATATTACACTTGCAATAAAATGTCCCGAAAGATAGTTCTGGTCGATTAAGGCACTGGTTATTGTGCTAAAATAGGTGCAGATCTTCATTTTTGTAAACAGTTTGTTTTTAGCAGTAATTTAATGCTGGGCGTGTCATCGTGATTGACAGCTGTGATTGACAGTTTCTCAAAGCAGCGCGTTTGAGCTTCGGCAGAAGACTGAAGTAGACTGAAATGTTATTATTCGATTTCTGTGTTATTTTACCATGACAAAATGAGTTCAGCAGTAAACTATAGTTTCTGACATACATGATCCTGGTGGAACACTGTTTATTTGCTAAGTTCAGGGCTTTTTTCGGGCTTTATTAGTTTGCTGATACACGCCTAGCCACCCAGATAGCAAAACACAGTTCCGGCTAGATTCTCGCCTGCCGGAGACTTATCTCTTAGAGCTCAGACTGACTAATGTTACCTCTGCTGGACCTACTCCGGATGCCTGGACTCACTACCCAATTCCAGCCCGAGTCAATCGAGCCAGATGCGGCGGCCGAGCGAGCAGGCGCTGCCGCATGCGAGCCGGAATCAGCCCGCGACGCCGCGAGTAAGTTATGCGATGCGGCCTGGAGCTGGCGCGATTGAATATATAAATCCCTCATATTTGTTAACGTTATTACATCCATTTGTGTTGATATGACAGCAAACGCATGCTGAGAAGTTCGGGGGGCGTGGTTGATTTTACATAAAGCGTTTGGTTGGAAGCTCGACTCTGCTCATTTTCGCGGCTCCTCCTCTGGCTCCATCAGACAATCCTTCTGCGCATGTCTGGCTCCAATTTCAGCAGTTTTTTGCGACAGTTTGTGCCCGTCAAGCAGGCGTTTTGCCCTCAAGGCGTTCAATGGGAAAAAGGGCTGTCGCGTCGTCCATATTTTTTACAGTCATTGGTCTGATCTCATACATGTGAATTCCATTCAGATTTTTGGGTTAGACTAAATACAGTTGGAGGCAAAATTATGAGCCCTGATATAAAATTTTAATTATTTTTGAAATGTTTGCCAAGTGCTCTTTAACAGAAAAGGTATTTTTCATTTAATAACTAATTATTTTGTCTTTGTCACAATGATAGAAGATAATATTTTACTAGCTATTTAAAGTACAAGTACTTTTTAAAACTTCCAGGTAACAAAGAATTCTGGCCCAGGTTTGGCATAAAGCTGGCACAGCAGGCATCCATCCGGCACTGGCATACAACATGTGGGCCCAGGTTTGGAAGAGGTGGCACACAATATTTGGGCCAGATGTAAAATCTAATATTTGGCCCAGATGTTAGAAATTTATTTGTTAATTTATTTATTTGTTCAGTATGTTCAATATGAAATTTATTTGTTAATTTATTTATTGGTCCCACTTTATATTAAGTGTCCTTAACTACTATGTACTTGCATCCAAAAATGAATACAATGTACTTACTGTGTTTATAATGTATTTGAGAACACTTGTGGTGCTCGTGAGTTGGGATAGGGGTAGGGTTTTGGACAGGTTTGGTGGTATTGGCAGGTTTAAGGGTGTGTTAAGGTGTAAGGTATGGTCAACAGTGTATTTACAAATGTAATTACAGAAGTTAATCACAGATGTAATTACATACTTGTATTTAATCGAGCATAAGTACATAGTAAATACATGTATCTACACAATTAATACATTGTAACTAATTATTAATTTCTGTGTAAGTGCTTATTAGTTAAGGACACTTAATATAAAGTGGGACCTATTTATTTGTTCAATATGTGGGCCATGTAAGTCTGGCCTGTGTTGACCCACATTTAAAATGCATTAACATATTTTTTGAGTTAAGGAAAAAGTCGAGAAAAGGCATGCCCATGGTGTGCCTAAAGCGCAATGCTTCATAGGTTTACCAATTTCATTGCAATCCTGACACACCAACCTATCTGGCCCAGTTCAGGCCCAGTTATGAGTTATTAGACTTGAGTCAGATATGGTTCATATTT